ACACTGAAAATCGCACCAAAAAAAAAAAAAAAAAAAAGAAATGGGCCAGTGTACGCGCAGGAGTCAGCCTGGGGACCCGCCTCGGGCTCGACACCTGCTGCAAGGGGAAGGCCCCGAGTTAGCCCTGCCCCGGCACCCAGGGACTTCTGCTGCTGCGGGCCGGGCCTGGCCTGGCGTGATAATCCACAGATCAGCAAGAGAAGCGACAATGGGCCTGGTGTTAGAGCACGTTCCAGGCCGCCAGGGCCTTGGTCTCGGCCTGGCCCAGGGCACCAGAGAAGCAGGACAAGGGGATGAGTCAGAGGTGGGGAGTGGGAGGGGCAGAGTTCGCCCCTCAGTAAGTGAGTTCCCACAACTCTGGGAGAGAAAGGGGGTGCTGCTTTTGAGAGAAAGGGGGGTCTGGGCTGGTTGGGACGGTGAGAGCCAGAAGGCCAGGCGTGTGCCGGCTGCTGGCGGGCACGTCGTGATGCCGGGAGCGTGTGCTGGTGCCAGCTCACACTCATGCTGTTCTGTTTGTGTTTAACAGAGAAGCTTTGTGTGCTCTGTTTTTCAGAATTATTTACTTTTAGTTATTATTTTTGTTTTTATTAGCTTACCATAGGGCTTATGCACTCACCAGGGAGAGACAGAGAGAGGAAAAGAGAGAAAGCAAGACACCAGATAGATCTAGGACTTGAACCATGGTTGGCCGTGTGAGAGTCTAGTGCCTTAACCACCACGCCATCGGCTGGCACCTTTCGTGGGCTTGTAGTACATCCCAAGATCAGACTTCCATTCATTGCCGTGAGGCCACAGGTGAGCCGAGAAAGCTAACCTGAGCCTCGGTGGTTAGACGGCAGGCTCAGCGGCCGCTGAGCTCCCAGCCCTGGCCCTGCCCCTGCATAGACAACACAACCTCTAAGTAACTCGGTTCCTGCTCTCCAACCCGAGGCCAGTACTTCTGCGGTCACTGGGAATCAAATGAGTTGAGCGTCTGGAGTGCTGAGAGCAGTGTCTGGCACGGCCCCTCTGAAGCGAGAGCCGGAGCATCTGCTCATCGGCTCCCTCCTGTGAGCGTGTTACGTTTGGGTCCACTTACAGGTGGATTAAGATGCTCCCACGAGGGCTGGCCAGTGCTGTAGTCTGCCCTTGGTGGCGTGCATGTGGTCTGGGTGCAGGTGGGTCAGCTGCCTGGCTCGCCCCCGCCGCTTCGTCCCTGGGGGGACCTCTGAGGTGCCTTCCAGGTCTGTCCAGCCCGTTGGGGAGCCCACATGCCCGGAGCAGGCAGTGCTGAGGTGGAACACCCAGTTCTCCAGCCCACCTTTATCCTGAGTAGGGCACAGGCTTCAGCTTTTCGCATGGCCAGGAGCATCCGGTGTGCTCTCCCCACCTGAACATGGCCCTCCTTCCCAGCCCCTGCCCCAGTCACCCCAGCCTGGGCACCCTCCGGCACGGGAGCACTCCAGGTTTGGGAGTCTCACACCCACGGGGACATGTTTTAAAATAGATGGAATTCCCACTCTAAGTTAGCCCGGGGGCACAGTGGTGGCCAGGAAGAAGGGCCCGTGCAGTGCAGGAGCCTCACAAAGGCCCCACCTCCGACTCAGACCACCTTGGACGTGCCGAATGTGGTGGGGTTCCATCAAAGTACCTGCCTCTCTTTCTCTCATTTTTGGGGAAAAAAAACATTGACGAATATAAAAAAAATGGGACATGGTTTTGCAGGGGGGTGACTTTAGACTGTTGGACCTGGGAGGTTCTGCAGGCTGTCCCCCAGGGCTAAAGGAGAGCCCTGCATTAATCCTGGTACTCAGTCACACCCAGGAAAGGCCCCCTGCATTCGGGGTGGGAGAGACGTGTCTCGCTTACGTGTTCTGATTGGATGTGTCTGCACAGAGACCTGGAGATGAGTTTTAAGCACTGAAAACATGGGCGGATGTGGATTGCCTAGTTGAAATTAGGCAGGGTGTGTCTTACCAGCTGTGCCAAATAAACACGAGGTCCCGGGGGCTCTGGTTCTGTGGCTCCCTTCCACGCCTGACGCCCCAGGCTGGAGAGGCGTCAGGGGATCGGTGAGGTTGCTGTAGAGGTAATGATGCTTCCCCGGGATTCGAAATTGGGCTCTGCGGCAGGCGGCAGGCGGTGCCGAGGGAGGGAAGGCTGATACTTAGAGAGGCGGAGTTACCGCGGGAGTGCGGTCTGATGTGGCGTCCTTAGGCTCAACGGCCAGTGAGATCTCTACTCCGGTCCCACAGTGGGGTGGGCACAGCCCTGGGCCTTCATGTAGATCTCACTGTACCCAGAATCCCTCTGCTCTCAGGTGACCCGCTCCTGCCCATCTTCACAGAGGCCTGCCTCCCGCTCAGTGCCACCTGCAGCCTGCCTCCCTCCTCGGCTCCCTCCCCACCCCGTCCCTGTGTGCGTTCCCCGGCTCACACTTCAGCTGTGGCCAGCACAGGGCCCGAGAGCCTCAGTGTGTGACCTGCAGAATCCTTGCCAGAGCAGCAGGCTTCCTGGCTTTCTGGACCTTCATTATGATGCTGTGATTACCAGCCATGCCTGCCTCCCTCACAGCTGCAGTGGGAGTCCTTTGCGTTAAGCCAGGCTTTTATTTATAGGGAGGGTGTACTCACCAGAGAGACAGAGATAAAAAGCGAGAAATCACTCTCCAGGGGGTCGGCCATGCTGCAATCCCCTCTCCTCTATTTTCTCGGGATTTGGGGCATGCACACACATGCACCTGGCATGAGTTTTAAGCCACTGGGGTTAGGACTTGAACCACAGTCATCGGAGTCCAGCAATGTAGCCATTATGCCATCTACTGGTCACAAGCCAGACTTTACTTTTGCTATAGCATGTATGTGTTCACCAGAGAGAGAGATAGACAAAAAGTGAGTAATCGCCCCCCGGGGGTGGCCACGCTGCAGTCCCTTCTCTTCCACTAGGATCTGGGGGCGCATGCACCTGGTGTGAGTTTCAGACATCCAGGTCCAGGACTCAAACCATGATCGACCATGTGGGTAACCATTAGCCAGACATTTTCGTTAAACTTAAAAAGATAACTGGGCATAAGTGCCATATGGAGAAGTCCAAAAGGAAAAGGTCTCAAAAATACCGAGTAAAATAGGAGGCACCTGGTATGTGGTCAGCCAGCGTCTTCTTCGCGTCCCTCAGCACAGGGAAGCTCGGGCCTCCCTGACGTGCTGTCAGCACCCCCTCTAGACCGCCCCAGAAAGGTGTTGCACATGCACTGCGTTCTTCCTGCCCGGCGAGTCCGAGACCATGCTGGGAGCTGAGCTGTGTCCCGCCCCTCGGCTCCTGGGCCTGCCAGACAAGTGTTTATGCTAGCCTGCGGGTCAGAGCTCAGGTGGCTGGCTGTGCTCCTCGTCACCATCACTGTCTCGTTCCTCTCTGAGACGGCTTCTGTGAGAGGTTGCACTGCCCAGTCCAGGGCACGGCACCCACCTGGGCTGCTGCATGAGGCTGGCCTTTGCTCATTTCAGCGACTGCTGTGGCAGCTGGCTCTCCCCACGCCACAGGGACACGGGGCTCAAGCCTCAGCCAGCTTTTCTGTTGCCGTTCCACACAGTTCAGCCAATGCTACCCCCGAATTTGAAGGTCGAGGAGGTGATGACCTTGGCACGGAGATCGCCAACACCCTCTACCGGATCTTCAACAACAAGAGCAGCGTGGACCTCAGGTCCCTCTGCATCAGCCCTCGGGAGCACTGCTGGGCTCTCTACGTGGACGTGCTGGTGAGTGCCACGTGCCGGGCCTGCTGTCCTGTTGGTGCTCACTGTTATCCTAGCGTGGGTGAGTCAGGAAGGGCGGCCTCCTAAAATAATTCTTTTTTTTTTTGGAGAGGTTTTTGCTATAGGGCGCGTGCACTTGCCAGACAGACAGAGAGAGACAGAGAGATAGAAAGGGAGAAATCACCCCCTAGAGGGGATGGCCACGCTGCAATCCCTTCTCCTCTATTCTCCTCTCGGGATCTTGGGCACACACTCCCCGCATGCAAGCCTCAGCCAGCTTTTCTGTTGCCGTTCCACACAGTTCAGCCAATGCTACCCCCGAATTTGAAGGTCGAGGAGGTGATGACCTTGGCACGGAGATCGCCAACACCCTCTACCGGATCTTCAACAACAAGAGCAGCGTGGACCTCAGGTCCCTCTGCATCAGCCCTCGGGAGCACTGCTGGGCTCTCTACGTGGACGTGCTGGTGAGTGCCACGTGCCGGGCCTGCTGTCCTGTTGGTGCTCACTGTTATCCTAGCGTGGGTGAGTCAGGAAGGGCGGCCTCCTAAAATAATTCTTTTTTTTTTTGGAGAGGTTTTTGCTATAGGGCGCGTGCACTTGCCAGACAGACAGAGAGAGACAGAGAGATAGAAAGGGAGAAATCACCCCCTAGAGGGGATGGCCACGCTGCAATCCCTTCTCCTCTATTCTCCTCTCGGGATCTTGGGCACACACTCCCAGCATGAGTTTAAGCCAACGAGTCCAGGACTCGAACCGTGGTCGACTATGTGGGAGTCCAGCGACATAGCCATTACGCTAACTGCTGCTCCCCTAAAACAGCTCTTTAAAAGTGAAATACAGCCATTCTAAGGAGCACACGTAGGTGGTTGTATGATGGCAGCACTTACAGTTGTCCTCAGTAGTCGTCAAGGAAGACACAAGACGAGGTGCTGTCTGGACGGGGCCCGGCTGAGCTGCCGGATGGAGTTCAGACGAGGTGCCCCAGGCTGGCTATGATCGTGTGAAGCAGCCGTGTTGCATGACGGAACACGAGCCGTGTGCTGGTAGTTACCCCGCTAGCACATGCACACCTACGGCATCACGGCCCGTGTTTCTGCATGTCCAGGAGCCAGGCGTGTGTCAGCAAAGACTGGAGTGACACTGCACGTGGAAGCTCCCTAGGCCACATCAAGATGAGCTGTGTGGCAGCATTCCTGAGGGAGCAGTGACACAGCAGGCCACGGCCTGGGAGTGGTGCCACCGGGGCCAGCAGCACTCTGTGTGCATGGCCCGTGCGAACAGCATGGCAAGGTAGCCTTGGAACTGAGGGGGCACACCCTGTGGGTGAGCCAGCGTGGCAGCCGGACAGAGCTGTGTGTTCTCATCTCTGGTGTGTTTTTACTTAGTTAAATGAGTGAATTTCTTTTTTATTGCCAGAGGGTGCATGTGCTCCCCAGAGAGACAGAGGGAGGCGGCGGAGAGACAGAGAGGGAGGCGGCGGGGGAGCGAGAGAGCACGCCCAGTGGCGGCCTCTCTCGAGCTGCTGAGGCCAGCATTCAGGCTGCGGCCATCCACGTGGGGTCCGACCCCTTCCCCGGGCCCCGGGGCTGCTCCTGACGGCTGTTCATCGGCACACACTCCGTTGGGGTGCCATGACCGCGAGAGCCCTCGGGTAATAAACATGCCTGCCTTCCCTTCCCTCTATGCCTGTCTCCCTCAGCTGCTGGAATGTGGTGGGAATCTCTTCGACGCCATTTCCATTGCTGTAAAGGCTGCCCTCTTCAACACCAGGTGAGTCTTCCGGACTCGGCCAGCGGGCCCTCAGCGAGCCTGAGCCGATGCTCACAGTGGAACAGGGATTTCACTGGAGCCCTTGGGGAAAGGTCGCGGGTGTCGGCGCTGAACCTGGCGATGCACGATCCCCTGAGCTGACTCTGACTGTAGACGTTTTTGTATTGCTTTTTTTAAAATATCGATTTAATCATTTATTTCATTTTATTTTATTTTAATTTGACCAGAGCAAGACAGAGGGGGGGGGGAGAGAGAGTGAGAAAGCAAGCCACCAGGTCTGGGACTCAAACCATGGTTGGCCACATGGGAATGTCTAGTGCCTCAACCACCACACCACCTGCTGGTCCCTCTGTATCGTTTTGTGCAGTGTTATCTTTATAAGTAAACACACCATTTAGAAAAGTACTAGGAAATGACAGAGACGCCAAAAGGAGTGGACACCGGTGCAGGCCAGCTGTCGCAGCGCTGGGCCCACCCTCGGGCAGGGCCTCTGCCTCTGTACCCGGCCGGCTCCCAGCACCAGTGGCTGACCCACAGCGCTCACGCAGCCTGTGGTGCACACCAAGGGTCCTGAAGCAGGTGACAGCCTGCTCTGGGGTTTCAATTCCTAGGAAACGGTTGTGTCACGGTGGCCCGGCCGCCGCAGCGTCTGTGAGGAAGGGACAAGGTGCTCAGTCTCTATGGAGCTGCCTCTTGCGACGGCTCGGTCACACCACCTGCCCTCTGCGCACAAGCGCCCTGGGACAGGTTGGGGCGGTGGGGGTGAGGGCCATCCGTGAGACAGTTAACAGCACGGCGTCGGGAGTCTGGGCTCTGCAGAACGACGACCCGGAACATGCGGGGGGGTGGCCTAGAGACGGACCTGAGCGAGAGGGTGAGGGTGTTTAGTCCGGGGCGACTGCGCAGCCGCTCTGTGGTGGCGAGGAGCTGGCGCACCTGGTGTCCCCACGTGGAGGGCCCTCCGAATGCAGCCCCTCCTGTCCTCCGCCTGCTTCGTTGTGTCCTGTGGGTGACTTGTCAATGTGTAGCTCCTGTCAGCCATTGTCCAGCGCTCACATGGTAGGCAAGTTAGTGCCCATCTTGGAGGTTCTCTGTAGTGGATCTAGACCACCTGGCTTCTAATTAAACAGAGACAAAGTTTAAAAACTACATAGCTCGGGACCAGCAGTTGGCATAATGGCTATGTCGCTGGACTCCCATGTGGTTGACTGCGGTTTGAGTCCCGGACACGGTGGTCTAAATTCACACCGGGCACATGTGCGTGCGTGCCCAAGACCCCGAGAGGAGACTGGAAGAAGGGATTGCGGCGTGGCCACCCCCCTGGGGGGTGATTTCTCGCTTTCTGTCTTCTGGTGAATGCACGTGCCCTATAGCAAACTCTCCAATAAATAGATAAATAAATGAATAAGTAGATAAATAAATACATAAAACTGTATAGCTCAAAGAGCCGGCAGGTGGTGTGGTAGTTAAGAACACTGGGCCTGGCCAACCACGGTTTGAATCCCGGACCTGATGGCTTGCTTTCTCACTTTCCGTCTCTTCGCTCTGTCCCTCTCTGGTCAAATTAAAATAAACACATCGTCGGGAGTCTGGGCTCTGCAGAACGACGACCCGGAACATGCGGGGGGGTGGCCTAGAGACGGACCTGAGCGAGAGGGTGAGGGTGTTTAGTCCGGGGCGACTGCGCAGCCGCTCTGTGGTGGCGAGGAGCTGGCGCACCTGGTGTCCCCACGTGGAGGGCCCTCCGAATGCAGCCCCTCCTGTCCTCCGCCTGCTTCGTTGTGTCCTGTGGGTGACTTGTCAATGTGTAGCTCCTGTCAGCCATTGTCCAGCGCTCACATGGTAGGCAAGTTAGTGCCCATCTTGGAGGTTCTCTGTAGTGGATCTAGACCACCTGGCTTCTAATTAAACAGAGACAAAGTTTAAAAACTACATAGCTCGGGACCAGCAGTTGGCATAATGGCTATGTCGCTGGACTCCCATGTGGTTGACTGCGGTTTGAGTCCCGGACACGGTGGTCTAAATTCACACCGGGCACATGTGCGTGCGTGCCCAAGACCCCGAGAGGAGACTGGAAGAAGGGATTGCGGCGTGGCCACCCCCCTGGGGGGTGATTTCTCGCTTTCTGTCTTCTGGTGAATGCACGTGCCCTATAGCAAACTCTCCAATAAATAGATAAATAAATGAATAAGTAGATAAATAAATACATAAAACTGTATAGCTCAAAGAGCCGGCAGGTGGTGTGGTAGTTAAGAACACTGGGCCTGGCCAACCACGGTTTGAATCCCGGACCTGATGGCTTGCTTTCTCACTTTCCGTCTCTTCGCTCTGTCCCTCTCTGGTCAAATTAAAATAAACACATAAATGAATGAATAAAGTTAAATAAAATAATCTTATTAAAAACAATATAGCTTAGAAATCGTGGGCTGGGCTGTTGGTGGAGGACGCTGTGGAGGGCCCACCCCAGCCGACCTGAGACGTGGCCTGGCGCACAGCCACGGAGGTGTGCCAGAGCCTGCAGTGGCAACCCCGCCGGGCCTGACTGGAGGAGGGAGGGGGTTGCTGCTTCTCAGGCCTCAGCAGGGACTCCATCCGCCGGCTGGTTTTCTGGGCACCAGAGCCCAAGGAGAGACTGGGAGGCAGACACGGGGGCTGGCTGTGGGTAATGCTTGGGCAAACAGCACATACAGACGGCCAGCCCACTGCCCCAATGGGGAGAACCCCTGCTGTGGCACGGCTCCATCTCATCCCGGACAGGGGCAGCCTGCGGGCAGCAGGGACCGGGCACCATGCGAGGCACTGGGGCCCCAGGCATGTGGGTCCGCCTTTCGCAGAGTCTGGGTCCTGTGGAAGAGTGGAGACGTCAGAGCGTGCTAGCCGTGTGTCGGCCCAGGTTGAGAAACGGAGAGACGCGTGTGCACGTTATAGGGTAATTTGAACGTAGCCACCAGAACGCAAGCTGGCGACCCAACTCGTTCAAATAGGGCCTCACCGTGACCTGAGCCCTGGGCTCCGTGGAGTGCCCAGCCCTGCCCCGCTGTGTGGGTTCTGGGCGGCCCTCCTCTGCCAGTCCTTGGATTGTAGCCTTCTCACTGTGGCCGCTCTGATGACAGTCCTGGGACTGTGTGCCCAGCCGCACTGCAGCTCTAATTTGCGTTTCTCGGGCACATATTTAAGGTGAGCCTTCACGGCCTCGTTCTCCGTTCCTCCTCCAGAGGCTCTTGCTCTCTCCTGCCTGTGCACTTGGGGACTACTCGGTATGACTGTGCACGTGTGTGGCAGGAGGTGGGGCGCAGCTCGTCTCTCGTTGGCCAGTCATTTTCCAGAACTCGAACTCCCGTCCTCACTACACCACGGTGCTGCTATGTGCTTTCGACAGGGCACTCGGTGCGGGTGGCAAACTACAGACCTGGCCTCTCTCCTGAGACAGGGGTTCCAGCTCCTGTTCCCAGTCTCCCCTCCCTGTAAGCGGACACTTGAACTGTGCTTCTGTCTCTAGGATCCCAAGGGTCCGTGTTCTGGAGGACGAGGAGGGGTCGAAGGACATCGAGCTGTCCGATGACCCATACGACTGCATCCGGCTGAGTGTGGAGAACGTCCCCTGCATCGTCACTCTGTGCAAGGTGTGAGCACATGCGTTACACTCTGCTCTCCCACACGTGGGGGTCCCGACACCCCAGTCCTTGGAGTTGAGAAGTTACCCTTTGACAGACCATGTCAGGGTGGCTTTAACCCAAACCCAGTAGGTTGGTTGTATTAGAAGCCAAATTATAAGTAGCTCTCTCTTCCCTTTCGAATCAGAAGGTGGACTGCATCCAGGCGTGCACGAGGAGGTGTGTAGTGTGTAGCCAGAGTGTACACGCTTCCAGACTATGAGCCTCACCGAGCACCCTGTGGGCTCACTTCCTTCAGTCCCTCCAGTCTGCGCTGTCCATGGGGCTCAGGGGTCCCTTGTGGACCCCAGTGTCCATGTCTGCACCAAGGGTGGAGCACATCCCAGGGGTCGGGGACGTCAGGCGTGGCTCCATAGCACAGGCGCCTGCAGGGCCCAACCTCTGGGTGACCCTGCCCAGGTGTGCACTGCCAGGGATTGGGGCTTCTGCCACCCAGGACTCCTTGTGTGCAGTTAGGCAGAACAAGGACCAGCAGGTGGCATAATGGCTATGTCGCTGGACTCCCATGTAGTTGACCACGGTTCGAGTCCCAGACTTGGTAGGTCAAAATCCACACGGTGCACGTACATGCATGTCCAAAATCCTGGGAGGAGAATGAAGGAGAAGGGATTGTGGTGTGGCCATCCCCCTGGGGTGATTTCTCTCTGTCTCTCTGGCAAGCACTCACACTGCATAGCAAAAATCTCTCTTAAAAGAAAAGGCGGACCGGGTCAGGATTCATTCCACTCTCTGAGCCTGGGGCTTGGGGAACCGAGCCCCTGTGCCTGGCTCGTTCTTCACACGGACCCTCCCAAACCCCCTGCTTCAGGGAAACGGCCTCGTGGCCTTACTGCTGAGATCACTACGTGGATCTCTGTCCCTGCCCTTCAGGGTGGTCCCTCCCCTCGGCTTCCGGTTCTGACCACCCACAGCGGCCTGCCACAGAGACGCCTGCTTTCAGCAACTCCCTTCTGGGCAGATGCTGAGGCAGCATCCAGGTGGGCAGGGCCAGCCCTCTGTTTAGTTTGGTGCTTTCACCACAAGGCCTGCAAGGGGGCCTGGGTCGTGTCTTGGCACACCTGCCTCGCCCACACGCCTGCCTCGCCGCACACGTCTCGCCCACACGTATGCGTTGCCACAAGCGTGCCTTGCCCACACGCACGTGCTGCTGCCTGGCTTTGCAGATCGGCTGTCGGCACGTGGTGGACGCCACCCTGCAGGAGGAGGCCTGCTCCCTGGCCAGCTTGCTGCTGGCGGTGACCAGCAAGGGCGTCGTGACGTGCGTGAGGAAGGTGGGGAAGGGCAGCCTGGACCCCGAGAGCATCTTCGAGATGATGGAGGTGAGGCGCTGCTTCCAGGCAGGGTTGGGCCGGCAGGGGTGCTCACCGCCTTCGTCCTCTTGACCATATGGGGGGTTCTCTGTGCTCACGGCCCCACCGCGGACGGGGAGCTTGGAGGGCAGCAGTGAGGCCAGGGGCCGGGGTGGGGGCCGGGAGGGACAGAACCTGCTGGGGCCCGTGGCTTGTCCTCAGCCATCCCCCTGCTCTGTGATGCCACGTCCCTGCGGGTCTGGATGAGCACAGAGTCACCTGTGACTGTGAGACCGCAAGGCTGTGATCGCATTGATCGATAGGGATCGCATTGCTGGCCGCGGTTTCCTGGCCTTCCAAGGGCTGAAAAGCGGTGGAGCTGGGAACTATGGGGGGCCTTCACCCCAACCCTCACAGGTCTAGCAGGGCACCCATGGAGGCGGCGGGAATGGTATCGGGGTCGCCCCTGGGCCCTCCGCCCCAGCAGCACCGTCGGGCCGCCCACCACACCTGCGTCCTGTTCCTCACTCATTTCCCTGCCAGGCTGGGAGCCCCTGGGGCAGGGCCGGTCCTGCACCCGTGTCTTCACAGTCCACTCTCGCCCACGTCACCTCAGCTCTGACCGACTGGCTGAATTGCCAGGTGGCCTCTGTCCCACACAAGCCCAGAGGTCATTGTGCACCAGCCCAGTGGCCGCCCACCCTCCTTCATTCTTGGAGCCCACGGTTTTCCACTGGTCCAAGCCCTCGGTGTCTGCCTTGTCACCACTGCCTTGAAAGAACAAGACGGCCGTGTGTGGCCTGGGGACCCAGGCACAGCTGAGGGCTGGCCGCAGGCTGCCCCTGCTCAGTGGGAACGTGACAGTGGACGCCCTGGAGTGCTGTGAGGGCCGGACCTCAGGCACGTGCCAGCTCGGCCAGTGTGAGCCCGGGGGCTCCAGAGGCAGGTCAGGCGCTGCATCTCTGCCGCCCAGCAGAGGCTCCCAGCCCTGTTGTCAGAGACAAGAGTTTCATTCTGAAAGATCTCGGCGGACAGCTTTCTCCAGGGCCCCTCGCATCCGCTGTGGGGGGCTGCTTACTAGGTTTAGTGAGTCGTATGACCTCTTGTGTCTCGGTCCCAATGTCCCACAGCCTTGGACATCTGTGTGACAGTGACAGTGAAGACGCCGTCCCCATATGGGCTCCGGTCCCATCCGAGCAGCTCTGCTTTGAGCCTTGGTGGGAGGTGAGCTGGAAGCTGCTTGTCGACACCCCCTCCGCACCATCTGTCCCTCCTCCAGGCAGACCCCGGGCTCTCTGTGGCCACATGGCTTCGGAGTGCGGGACAGCAGGTTAGCAGAGCCAGCTCTGGCCACAGCCCTACCGCCCGTCCCCAGGCGGCAGGAACGCAGGCCTTGATGGCTGCCTGGGACGGCCTCTTCCCTTTCCTTTTGCTATGGAGGATCTCTCGGTGTAACCAGCTGTCGTGGTTTGTGGTTGGCTTCTGCTGTGCTTTAATTATTAGTTAAGAGTCTTCTGAGGCCGGTGGAAGGCAGACAGCATGGGGACCGCTAGCTGGCCGGGAGGGCGCCTCCCCCGGCAGAGGGCAGGTGCGGGGCACGTGACTGTCCCTTCTCTGTCCTGCAGACCGGCAAGCGAGTGGGCAAGGTGCTCCACGTCTCCCTGCAGAGCCTCCTACACCAGGAAGAGAGCCTCGGTCCCGAGAGGCAGAAAGTCGGGTTCCTGGGGTGATCTGCACATCTCCCCTCACCGCGATTGCTTTTCCCTCTTCCTGTGAAACCCGAGTTTGTATATATTCTTTGTGAATGGTCTGAATTTCAGGAAACATTTGTACATGTAAAATTAGTCTATTTTCTGGTCTGGTTTGGTGTGGCTAGAATTCTTCAGCTACAAGCCAAGAGGCCACCCAGTGACCCCCCCCACAGGGTCTGACCCTTGTCTGGTGAGTGGTCACCAATGCCAAGGCCACCACCAGGGCGAGGACTCGGGCAGGGGCCGCCCGGGAGACTCCTACAGCGCGAGTCCACAGCTGGAAATCCAACTTAAAGGAAGCGCTTCTGATGGGGATTTCGGGATTTTTTTCTCTGTAGAGCTTTCAAAGTAAGAATTCCAAAGGGAAGTTCATTCACCTTGTGTGTCGGGGTGCCTCCGGGGAAGGGGAGGAGGAGGAGGCTCCTGCAGCAGGGGCAGACCCAGGCCCTGCCAGGCTGGTGAGCCTCCCTGACCTGGGGAAGCCCACCCTGGCTCCCGCCCCGGGAGATCCGGGCAGAGCTCTCTAGGCTGGGGCTAGGGAGCGTGGCTGCCCTGGCTGGTAGCCAACCTTTCTTGGCACTGCAGTTGTCAGCGGCTGGTTTTATGGCCGCTCCCTGGCGTGTCAGGACGTCCCGCCGTTTTCTCATCAGCGCTGACGGCTGCTCTAGAGGCGAGGGCTCCTCCCTCGGCCTGGCCACACCACAGTCCCTTCTCTATTCTGCAGGGATTTGTGGCACAAACATGCACATGGTATGATGACACATGCACTTGGTATGATGTTCAAGTTGCCAGGTCTAAGGTTTGAACCACAGTCAGCCATGTTGGAGTCTAATGCCTTAACCACTACGCCACCTGCTGGCCCCGAAGCCTTTGGTGTTGGCGGTTGGTTTCGGGGGTCAGTCTGAGGTTCATGAATGAGAAGGGATGTCGCCGAATCATTTGGCGAAGCTCAGCTGAGCTGTCTCCCTGCACACAGGCCAGGCTCGGCCAGGCCTTTGCATGCCAAGCAGCTTCCGGCTGGCCAGGCAGGCCGCGCATCATGGAGAATGTCCAGAACGGGGACAGAGGTGTTGGTGTCTGTCTTGAAGGTCACCTACATGGGACATGTGTGTGTCACACAGGATGTGGAGGAGCGAGAGCCCCCAGGAGAGCACTGGTTGGGAAGGTCTGATTACTACAACTCTTAGAAAAAGAGAACTGAAGGCCAAGACCGGCAGATAGACGGGCCGTCTGGGGAGACCTGTCCCAGTGCAGGGCAGTGCTGTCCCCAACGGCCTGCAAGTACCCATTTCAGGGAGAACACTGCAGTCGGCCAGCGCCCGGGCCAGGAGGAGTGCCACGTTACGTAGTACCTGGGTGGCTTCCATTCCCCGGTGGGTCCCTGGTCTCCCGGCCCCAGGTCAGGCCTGCAGAGCACGTGACCCAGAATGTCTGCAGTCGTCTGCAGGCGCTCTCCAGGCCGTGGGCTCAACTGCCAGCTGCCAGGGGACACACCCGGGACTGAGTTCACACCCTTCCACCCAGCAGTTCCCCTTCTGGGACCATAACCAAAGTGAATAACCCCGGGGAGAGGAGTGAAGACAATGAAGACGTCCCTGCTGGTGTTCTTGGTCCCCAGAGGGAGGCTGCAGGGTCTGTGGCCACCGTGGGGACCACCTGGCCGACACGGCAGTGCCTCTCCCTGGGCCGGCCTGGTGCTCTTGCAGCCTCTGCTCTCTGTCCCGGGCCACTCTGACACACTGTGTTGGGGAACACGCAGGTGTCCACTCAGCACCTGGGTGTGTGCAGCCCGGGGTCCTGGGACATCTGAGTCCCTCACCTACTCTCCAGGTGCAAGCCTGTTCACAGACCAGAGTTCATGGCCAGAAGAGAGGCTGGTTTTAAATAAGGACCCTCTGTTCCCACCGCCAGTATCCATGATAAATTCTCCCATCTGGAAGAACAGCCCCAGCAGACAAGTCACAGACTCCACGTGGTTTCTGTCATTTCCGGTCACCAGGGTGAGGAGGCTGGTGCTGACTGGGACTGGCACAGCTTGTACTGGGCGCAGTGGGTCCCGGCGCCGTTTCTCTGTCCCCGGGGCGGAGGTCGGGTGGGAAGGATGTAGCTGGGGCGGTGCAAAGGGACAGGATGGGAACCACGGGGATGAGGGGTCCAGGCAGGGCACCACCTCCCTCCCCCCAGGACAGTAAGTTAGAAACGGTACTGGGCCTCGGAGGACATAGAGACCGTTGTCCCCTCACCTCTGGCCTCCGTCAACGCTACATCATGGTGGGTGATGGGCCGAACCGTCGCAGTCTCCGGAGCTCTGTGTAGGTTAGGTGCACCCGCAGCCCCAAACCGGTGGCTGACGGCAGCTCTGTGTCATGTGGGGAGGACGCACCGTGTGCTCACGCGGTCTTGTCACTGCCGTCAGTTGCCTGCCCTGTCCAGGAAGACACACTGATCTGTTTACGGCAGTAAAATCGTGCTTGCTGGATCTGGTGCGTGGGAAGTGGCATGGAGGAGGGGTCCTACGAGAACGTGTGCGTGAGGCCGGGCAGTAGGCCCACGGCTGGTTGGACGAAGGCCTGAAGGCGGTGAGAGGGGACAGCCAGAGGCGAGGGGTGAGCATGGGTCTGGGGACGGCCCGGAGTGTGCCCCTTGGAGAGCACCCTCCAGGGGAGGCGTGACGCGCAGTCCTGGAGGGATGTGGAGGTCACCGCAGACTGCCGTGGGCCACAACTGCAGAAACTGGATCTGTCTCAGAAATCTCTCAAGATGCCCAGAGCTCTGGGAGCAAAGAGGGCTGCCCGGCTTAAAATTGCAGAGAAGGGAGGTGCCTTGGCTAGGAGCCTGTCACAGCTGTTTCCTTCAGATTCGGAACAGGCCACACATCAGCTTGGCGCACGCAGAGGGACTCTAGGGGCTGGGGGCTTCGGGACCCGTGTGCACAGCTGGGTTCACACTGGCCAGGGTCTACGGCTAGCTGGAGGCCAGGGATGCCAGCCAGGCAGAGCCAAGTGCCCTGTGGTGTCTCGTGGGGATGCCCGGGTGTCCTAGCGCTGTGGCCCGCTGTGACCAGCCAAGGCCGAACAGGCCCAGTCAGCCCTCCGGGGCCTTGCTCTCCCGGGGTGGAAGGCCCATGGGTGGGACAGGCCCTGGAGCTCTGCCACCCCCGGCCGTGAGGCTGCTCAGGCAGGGCCCGTCTCCCCACAGCATTGCAGGCGGCCCAGCCATCCCCTGCATGGCTTCACTGTGCTCCTGGACAGAACCCCGTGCAGGCAGGGCAGAGGGACTGAAGGGGGGTTGGGTCTTGAGTACCTTGCCCAAAAAGACAAAGTGGCAGGTGTCAGCCCTATCCGGGGCCCAGGACCCCTGCTGTCTTCTGCCGTCACACGACTGAGCATGGACAGAGCAGCAAGGACCGTGGGCTCCGTGAGAACTGAGGCCAGCTGAGTGGCATATTGCTGTCCCTCATGGTGACCTCGCACAGAGTCTGTCCTGGGACCCGGGGTAAAGCCATGACGTGGACAAATGACCAAGTGCCAGGCCAGCACACCCAGAGGGACAGACAGTTTTCCTGGAGAGCGTTGCTGAGGCCAAGACTGCGGGCCACTGGCCTTCGGCGTTGCTGCGGGCCGAGACTGCCCTGCACCGTGCCTGGAGATGCGCACCCGGGGCCTGACCTTCGGGGGGATGTGCAGAGCCTGCTGCCCACGCCGGCCGGCCCCGTTTCCGTCGCTGCAGGAGCAGTGTGGCTGGAAGGCAGTGTCGGCAGGGTCGGGCAGGGTGGGCAGGCCATGCAGGGCCGGAAGTCCGCATTCGGGCTGGCTCGAGTGGAGTGCCTAGAGGTCATCCTGTATAACTCGCTTCCGACAGCTTCGGAGAGAAGCCAGAACACTGGGAACTACAGCGTGCCTTGGGCGCTCTTGCTCCGACTGCCCACCCCAGGCCTCGTCGAGGCTGTTCTCTGTGCAGGGAGACTGGGAGGGGCCTCAGCATCGGGTGTCCGTGAGCAGGGGCCCCCTTGCAGGTGGTCACTCGTGCCTCAGCCCCCAGCACGGCCACACTGGCGAGCATGGCCCTCCCCCTGCCCCAGGGACAGTGGGCAAGGCCGGGCCGCACTGGCTGGAGGAGGGGTGGCCCTTCCCGGAACTGTGAGTGTGCGTGAGTCCAAAGCCAAGAAGGCCCCGAAATAGAGACACGTCCCCCGCCATGACTCTGCAGGGACATTTTCTAAATTTCTTTCTTAAGAGAGACAGAGAAAGGGATCCCCCCCCCCACCCAGGGTCTTACCACCCCCAGTGGGACAGCTGGGCTGGGGTTAAACCCGGGCATCTCTCATGTCACAACACAGTCCCTGCCTCCTGTGTCACCGTGGCTGACCTCTGTAGAGGTCATTTTTTAAAGTTTGTTTTTGTTTTTGTTTTATTTTTTTTTTCCTTAAGGCATATGTGCTTGCTGGAGAGAGACTGAAAGAGGGACAGTGAGAAATCACTCCCCAGGGAGATGGCCACACGCAGTCCCTTCTCCACTCTCCTCCCGGGAGTTTGGGAACACATGCACCTGTGCCCAGCATGGTCTTTAAGCTCCAGGGCTTGAACTGTGGTCGGCCGTGCGGGCGTCCAGCACCTTAAGCACTGCAGCACACGCTGGCCCTTAGGTCGTTCGAACAGCTCAGGTGGACTCCCAGGGGCTGTGGGGAGCTCTGTGCACACACACGTGCACATGTGCGTGCACACACATGCACACACGCACCAGGAAGGCATGCAGGTGGAAAATCTGAAGGCTTGCTCACTGCTCCCATGAGCCCTGGGCCAGCCTCCCTCCCGAGTGTGGGGAGCACGCTGCCGGGCTAAGCAGTAAAGGGCTCACTCCCCATGAAGGTGCAGTCCCACCTTGCCTGGGGGCTGCCCTGGATCTCTGAGGCCTTCTGGGTCCCAGTGCATCCAGCACTCAGCCCCCAGCCTGGCTGTCCACCCGGGCTCCGGCCGCAGTCTCGGCGAGGGTGGCTCAGTGGCCACTGTGTCTTCTCACCGCCCCGTTCTCACCGTCCCCATCTGGAATGTGCTACGACTTTGAAGGGCTCCAAGCCTTTGCCCGCCTCCCCTGCCTGGAGCACCGGCCACACCTTCCTTCCTTGTGTCCCTTCCCAGGTGGCAGGGCCGCCTTTCTTCCTCCCCTGCCCTGCTGTCTCTGGGGCCTCGCATGTGGAAAGCAAAGGAGTTAAAAAGCAACCAAGAAGGTACTACTTTTCCCTTGCCGCTCTCTCCCCACCCGGAGTCAGGAAGCGGCTCCTGGCGGGTTATGTAATGATTATCATCTGGCCCAGAGCGTCTTCCCAGGGCCGGCTGCAAATCTGAAACCCTCCTCCGCTCAGACTGCGCCAGGGATCCCAGAGTCACTGCACCCCAGGAGTGAGTGTTCCCTGCGCAGGGCTCCCGCCCTTGGCACCACCACTGGGTGCTGGTGCTGGGCCAGCCAAGCCTGCCTCCTCCCTCTCAGGCCGCAGCGCTGACCTCCCCCGGGGCAGACGGGGCAGGAGGGGGTCTCCGGAAGTAGGGAAGCCTGCCAGAGATTGCATTTTCTTTCTGAAAAATTCGAAACTCAAAGAATACTAACGGCTGAGATTTCAGCCTGAGCCGCTTGTATGGTTGTCGGCCTGGTGCCACGTCGTTGGGATGCTGTCCTGCGTCAGGACAGATAGGGCTGGCAGGTGGCATGGTGGTTAAGGAGCTGGACTCCCACATGGCCAGCCATGGTTCGAGTCCCGGACCTGGTGACTTGCTTTCTCACTTTCCCTCTCTCTCTCTCACGCTGGTCAAATTTAAATAATTATAATAATAAATACAGTTTTTAAAAAGATCACGTTTTGCACTTATCCCAGCCACGTGTGGGAGACAGAGGGTCCAGCCCACAGTCACACGCTGCATTTTGTTGTCTGGGGTCTTGAATCACCTTCGGTCTGGGGCAGCCCTGTAGGAGCCGGGTCCTGTGGGAAGTTCCTGGCCGCCACTGTGTACAATGGCCCTCCACAGGACGGTCCAGCGTCTCCTTGACAGCAATCTCGTGGGAAGACGCCATGTTCTCAGGAGCTGCAGGCGCGTGACCCACCCCATCGGAGGTGGCGTTTGCTTTGGTGACTTGGTTAAGCTGATGTCTGTCAGGGTTCTCCTCTGCAAGGTGAGGAGACTTCAGTGTCCCCTTGAGGAGAGGCAATTTTTTTTTTTGAGGTGGGTGGTTTGTTTTAAGGTGCGTTTGCTTGCCAGAGAGAGAGACAGAGACAGAGAGAGGGAAAGTGAGAAATCCCCTCCTGGATGGATGGCCTCGCTGCAATCCCTTCTCCTCCATTCTCCTCTTGGGATATTGGGCACGCACGCACATCCACCCAGTGTGAGTTTCAAGCCACTGAGTCCGGGACTTGAACCAGGGTTGCTCATGTGAGAGTCCAGCAACTTAACCACTCCCATCACCTGCCGGCCCCGAGGCAGACTTCTAGAGTAGCCCTGTCTCACCTGGGAGCCTGTGTTTCCCATCTTATTCTGTCTCCACACTATTTGGTCCCCATCTGTCTCTGCTTTTGGCTACTTGCTGTTCCATTGTCTTGGTTCCATGTCCCCCCTTTTTTTAAAATAAAAATAATTTTCTATTTTAATTGTATCATTATAATCATTTTTAATTTACTACAAGGCACGTGCACTTACTAGAAAGAGACACGCAGAGAGAGAAAATGAGAAAGCAAGCCACCAGGTCTGGGCCTTGAACCACAGTTGGCCATGTGGGAGTCCAGTGCCTTCAGCACCACGCCACTTGTGGGCCCCTCCATGTCACTTCCTGGAACACATGCTCCTAGCCCTCTGCCAGCACTTGCGGGCTTGTTTTCTGCTCTCCCTGCCCGGGGCTGGAGTCAGCCCTTCCTCTGAGGTGCTCTGGGCCCCGCTGCGTGTAGGCAAGTTTGCACTTGGGCAGGGATTGCTCCAGGCTGCAAGGGGCCTGCTGCTCTAGGACCCGCCCATGCCCCTGTGACAAGCGTGGACACAGGCACTTCCCTCCCGTGTTTGGGGGTTTGTCCTCATGTGCTCCAGCCCACATGGCACATGGTCACTCTGAGTTTGTTGTGTTTTTTTTGAGATTTTTGCTATAGGGCATGTACTTGCCAGAGAGATGAAGAAACAGAAAGCAAGAATTCACCCTCCGGGGGGATGGCCACGCAGCAATTCCTCCTTCCCCCTTCTCCTCTTGGGATTCTGGGCACATGCACATGCACCTAGCCTGAGTTTCAAGCCATGGGGTCTGAGATTCAAACTGTGGTCGACGTGGGAGTCCAGCACCTCAGCCACCACCCCACCTGCCGGCCGGTTACTGGGTTTTGATCCTACGGCAAGGGGTTCATTGGCTGCAGCTGGCTCTCCACATCCGTGACCATGGAGTAGGTGGACGTACTTGGCAAGGGGCTGCAGCAGGCGAGGCCCCACCTCCTCCCCCCAGCTGTCCCCTGTTGTGACCCCAGCTCCCTGCAGGCAGCCCCTTTCCCTGCTGGGTGGAGGGAGCAGCCATCCAGCTCTGCCCAAGTAACTGCTCAGCAGATGTGGCCGTGACAACGGCCGTGCATGTCTCAGAGTCCTAGAAAACCCAAGCCCCGTAGGAGGTAGGGCAGGATTGTGTGCTGGGCGTTTCCCGGGCGGGGGCTCCCAGGCCTCCCTCCCCTCTCGGGCTTGTGTGTGGCTGTGTTGTTTTTCCCTCTGCTCCCTGCCAAGTCTGGGAGGGTTTCCTGGACAGAGGTCCCGTGGCTGCTGCCTTAAGACGCTCAGCCCAGGCCACGGCTGCCACTGCTGTCCGACCCAGGGCCACTGCAGCCACCGCCGCTGCCCCGCCCACACGCAGCATGGAACTCCGGGACGCCTACTTGCTCCTCTGCCTCTGCTCCCTCCTGACCCAGGTCACTGCCGAGCCCCCGACCCCCAAGGTCAAGAAGGCCGCGAATGCCAAGAAAGGTAAGGAGCCCAGGCCCCTTCCAGGAGCTGTGTCCCTCTCGGTCCGGGTCCGCATGCTCCTTCCCGTTTCCCTGTGACAGCTGTCACCAAGTCACTGCAGTAATGCCCCTCTGCCCTGTCACCAGGACCCAGAGGACCCCTCACTCCCTGAATAGGGAAGAACTTTCCAGATCACCTAAACTGACACTGTCCCCCCAATATGTATTTTTTAAAGAATCATTTTTATTTAATTTTGTTATTATTAGTTTTTAAATTCAACCAGAGAGAGACAGAGAGAAAAAGGGAACATAAGAAAGTCCCATGCCACCAGGTCTGCACCTCGAACCGCAGTCAGCCACGTGGGAGTCCGGTGCCTCGGCCCCTGCACCGCCTGCTGCCCACCCCACCTCCAATATTTTAAAGACCCTGGAGCCGCTCGGCCTCCCACCCCCACCCGGGGGCGCTGCACAGGCTGTGCTTGGTAACTCCCCCACCTCGGTTTTCTCATCCGTAAACAGGGCGGGACATGCAGATTTAATGATCCAAAACATGGAAGGCGCCCGAGCCAGGGCCTGCCTGGGGTCCTGCACAGGAGCAGAAAGGGGCGAGAGGATTTGCGTTCCCAGATGCCATGGCCGCGGCCTCAGCCACAGTGAGCCGCGCTCCGCCAGCCCACTGCGGCCACTCCACTGTCACCACAGGGCCCGGTGTCCTGGGGCTGCCCTGGCTGCAGCAGGACCTGCCCTGCAGCCCCGCCTACAGTGAGGTCACCCCAGGCTGTGTTGAGACAACACCAGGGAATGCCATGGCAATGAACTAGGCTGTCACCCCCACAGGGCTCGGGGTGAGGAAGGAGTCCGGGGTTAGGGTGGGGACTTGGGCTGAGAAACAGGTGGCCAGAGCCAAGAGCACAGGGCTGTGGGCCTCCCGGAGGCTCCTCTGCAAGGGGACGGCCAGGGCCAGGCCGTAGAAGCTCTAAGGCACAGAAGGGTGTGGAGCCTGTGGGGCTGTGACCGGGAGGGGGCGTCTGGGGGCCTGCATAGACGATCTCCAAGCCCAAGTTCCGACAGAATGGGTGCTGTGTGGCCACTGTTTCGAAAGGGAGTTATTTCAAAGTACTTACTGTGTATCTGCACAGCGTTTCTGGAAGGATCCACCAGAGTTAGTACCAGCGATGACCTCTGGGAGGAGACCTGGACACAGGCAGTCTTGACTGGGAGGGAGACTAACCTGGCGGGTGTGGTGGGGAAGGGAGGGAGCCCAGGGCACTCTCGGGGGCTCATCTGCTCCTGTGGTGCCCTGGGTCTGCTCCAGCAGAGGTGAGCCTGCGAGGAGGCCCCCTCTCGGGACCGTGAGGCCATGCCAGCAGAGATGGGTGGGGGCAGAATGGCTCCCAGGGCCACAGGTGCTTGGAAATGGCAGCAGAGGGACTGCGGGGTGCTGATTCCGAAGCACACACCGGTGACCTGGGACTCAGAGACGAGGTGGGGTGACACAAGGGCGGCCGATCCCCCAACCGGGCTGTGGTGACACCACCCCCTCCCAGGCCTTTGGTCGAGCACCGTGCTGCGGGCTCGCGCTCTTTGGCAAGGCCCTGGAGCACCCTCTGCCATACGGGCACCTCCGTGCCAGTCACAAAGGTCCCTCCTGAAATGACACACTGTAGAGAGCTCCCCCCACCCCCCTTTTCAGGCAGGACCCAGCTGAGCTGGGGCGAGAGGAGAGGGAGCCGGGGCTGCGTGTGGACCAGGGCCCCCCTCAGCCGCGCGGCCTGTCCTGGCACCCGGCGGGCACAGCCGATCGGGCGCCCCGGGCATCGTGGCACACGGTGCGGAGCCGAGGCAGGGCCGGGGAAGGCACAGGCCCCGCTAGCCTGCCAGCCGCGCCCCACCTTTGCTCTCCTGCACTTGGCCTCCCTCGCGTCCGGTCTGTGACATCGCTTACCCCTGTAGTACCAGACCGCCTGTGGCTGAGCCCCGCAGAGCTCCGACCTCAGCCCCCACAGTCTGGCCATGCTGCGTGCAGCCTCCCTGAGGCCCTGAGGTCCAGAGAGATGGGGCCACCACAGAGCTCTGGCCCCAGCCTGCCCGATGGCCCCTCTCTGGTCAGGCCGCCTTGAGGCAGAAGAGCAGGCCTGGGCTGTGCCCGTGGCCCTCCTGGCCAGCCCCTCCACCAGGCTCTGTGTGTGCAGGACGCTGCTCCAGCCTGGCTCAGGGTCCTGCTGCAGAGTGTGGGGGCCAGGCACCCCACGGCGTTCGTGGAAGCGGATTAAGGTCAGTTTATTTGGGTGCAGAGAAACCGCAGTCCGTGGGGTTTCTCATAAAGCCCATTTCCCACGGGCATTCGAGGCCCCGCGAGCGCATGACCCGTGGTGGGTCTGTCCGAGCACCACAGGCGTGGGGTGTCGCGGGTTAGCAGGAGCCCAGCCCTCAGCAGCTGCTCCATCAACGTGAACAATGCAGGTTCCTCCTGCCCTCACGTGGCCGGCACCCACAGGGCACACTCTGGCCAGAGTGCCGAGCTGGGGGTTACACGGAGTCCTGAGGGGGCGGGAGTACCCTCCGTGCTGGGGACACTGAGTTCAGAGCGGCAGGGAGCTCACCCAGGTCCCACGTTGGTGCGCCCCCTGCCCCCTCAGACTGGCACCTGCTGCCCTCCGCCTGAGTGTGGCCCGGGTGAAGGGTCCTGCCTCCACTAGAGCAGGGATAGTGGCCCCACAC